ATATATACTGCATATGTGTAAACCAAAAAAAAAAAACAACTCACCGCTGTGGCGTCCAATCCGACTCATAGCGTCCCCTCCTTGGGTTTCTGAGGTGATATCTTTACAGAAGTAGATTACCCAGTCTTCCTTCTGAGGAGTGGCTGGTGGCTTTGAACCACCAGCCTTCTGGTTAGCAGTCAAATGCCTTAAGCACTACACCACCAATGCTCCCAAGACCTGGTTAAAAGGATGAAAAGACAAGCTATAGAGTGGGAGAAAATACTTGCAAACCCGATATCTAACAAAGGACTACTTTCTAGAATATATGAAGAACTCTTGTAACCTCATCAGTAAAATACCCAAATAATTCAATTACAAAATGGGCAAAAAACATTTCACTGAAGAGATACTTCACTATAGATGGCAAGTAAGTACATGAAAAGATGTTCATCATTAGCCACTAGGAAAATGCAAGTTAAAATGAGATATTACTATACACCTATCAAAATCTCAAAAACAAACAAAAAAAATAGTGACACCACCAAATGCTGGTGAGGAGGTAGAGAAACTGGAAAGGTTGGTGGTTTGAACCTACCAGCTTCTCTGCAGGAGAAAGAGGTGGCAGTTTGTTCTCATAAAGATTACAGCCTTGGAAACCCCATGGGGGAGTTCTATTGTGTCCTATAGGGTCGCTATGAGTCAGAATCAACTTAATGGCAGAGGGGTTTTTGGTTTTGGTTTGGTTTGGGAATGTAAAATGACACAACCACTGCCACTCAGTTGGCCAGTTTCTTGAAAAACATAACAAAACATATAACTACCATCCAACCCAACGTTTCCAATCGTGGCCATTTATCCCAGAGAAGTAAAGACAAAAAACCTATACATGTATATTTATTGCAACCTTATTTATAATGGTCCCAAACTGGAAACAACTTAGATGTCTTTCAACCAAATGTATGGTTAAGCAAACTGTGGAACATCCATATCACAGAATGCTAGTCATCGATAAAAGAAATGAACTATCAATACATTAAACAACCTGGATGAATTTCTAGAGTTAAGTTGAGTGAACAAAGCCATTCCCAAAACCATGTGTTTGTATGATTCTATTTATATAACATTCTTAAAATGGCAACATTATAGATATGGAGAACAGGTTAGTGGTTGCCAGGAGTTAAGGAGAGGGAGGGAATTAGGTGCTGCCATGAAAGGGCAACATAAGGGATCCTTGTGGGAATGGAACTTTTCTCTATCTTGACTGTATCAATGTCAATATCTTGGTTTCAATATTGCACAGTAGTTTCACAAGCTGTTACCGTTGAGGAAACTGGATAAAGGGTACACGGGATCTCTGTTTTATTTGTTACAGCTGAATGTGAATCTACAAGTATTTCAAAATAAAAAGTTTAATTTAAAAAAATGTAGTATGAATCAAGATGCACATTCTGAAACTCAAAAATGATTACATCTACACCCTACTCAAAATGCTTTAAAGCTCCTTTTATCAATAAGAAAAAGTCCAGACCCCTGTGGTTAGGCAGATAACCTATTGAGAAAAATTATTTTTAGTTTAAATTTTTTGTTTGTTTTCAGAAATGGGTTCACCACAAAGGAATCACATTTCCTCCTCTTCTAAGAAGATAGCCAGGTCTATGAGTTCTGAAGATCTGTGTTTTCCTCACCCCCAAGGTGGTAGCTAACACTTGTAACTGGTTGTTTAAGGAGTCTCAATACATTGAAGTATAAACATTGAAGGTTTTGCTTTTTCCAGTATTTGCTACCTGCTTTTTGACTGCTAACCAGAAGTCTGGCAGTTCAAACCCACCAGCCACTCCTCAGAAGGAAGATTGGGCAATCTACTTCTGTAGTGATACTGCCTTGGAAACCCAAGGAGGGGTCACTATGAGTCTGATCTGATTGGACAGCAGTGAGTTTGGTGTTTTTTTTTTTTTTTTTAAGTGGAGCTGTGGTTAAGGCATTTGGCTGCTAACCAAAAGATTGGTGGTTTGAACTCCCCAGCTGCTTAGTGAGGGAAAGATGAGTCAGTCTGCTTCTGTAAAGATTTACAGCATTGGGAACCCTTTGGGGGTCACTATGAGTTGGAAATGATGACTATTAATATTATTATTTTAAATGACCAAATCTTTCTTCCCACTGGATAGAGGGGAATATTAGTTATATCTCCATCTGATCCAGTAACTTTTCAGTCATATCTAGGTATTGAAACAGTGAGATTCTATGTGAATATTCAGGTTCTTAGGGTACTATTTCCTCTTCCAAGTCCAATTCAGTACACTTTCTTCAGGAGCTGGGCAGGGAGCCTCTCTCTCAAAGCTTCAGAGAGGACCTGGCAGACGTTGAATGGGGATCAGGCAGGGAGAGGGCTTTTTTCTTTGTATTATCCCCATGGAATCCATAGGTGGTGCAAAAGATTAGTGCTTGGCTGCTAACTGGAGGTTCAAATCCACAAGAGGTGTCTTGGAAGAAAGGCTTTGTGATCTACTTCTGAAAAATCAGCCCTTGAAACCCCTATGATGTTGGCCACCAAACACATGAAAAGATGCTTGGTGTCATTAGTCATCAAAGAGATGCAAATCAAAACAATGAGATCTCATTTTACTTCCAGTAGGATGTCTAAGATTAAAAAGAAAAGTCAGAGAGGATGTTGGGAAATTGGAACCCTTATCCATTGCTGCGGGAGCTCTGGTAGT